TTATTCTCTGGTATTCCTCTAATAGTTACATTCTCATTAAACTTAAAATCCATAGTAACATATAGTCAAATATGCTCTTTTTATTATAAATTTTTTTCTTAAATATTATAAGAAACTTATGATGTAATGAGTTTGATTGTTTTTTTTTTGTTTTGTGAGTCTTTTATCATGATATTAGGTTCAGAGCTATTGAAAGGATAAAAGTCAATATTTCATAATCATATGAAATCTCCAAAAATAATATGGATATTTTTATAATAAATTTAGGTTGGTTCAAACATAAAATTTATTGTTTGTGATTATATTTCCAATGAATAGTTATAGAGTCATGAGAATAAGTATTGTGAAGTATTTTGTGTCAGATTAACCTAAAAATATCTCTTATTATCTTACATTGAAGAATATATTATAATAATTGTTTATGAATGAAATAAGTATGGCTATTATAACGGTTTGAATATAATCAATAATGTTTAAAGTATAATTAATTTGATGGTTTATGTGTTGTAACAATTTTTTATTATTTTTAGAATTATTTTATTGTAAAAAAACTAAAGTAGAGTATTTGATATTCTTCTTTCATTAGAATCATGAAAATTATAGAAATTTACTTTAATTTTTTACTTCTTATTTATATCTAACTTTTTCAAATGAATGAAATAACATTAAAAATAAATATAGATATAGACGTGTTAAATTTTTAAAGGATTTTTATTCCATTATAGTCAGTTTGTAGTATTTTCATGACATGAATTATAACAATGAAAAACAACTAGTTATCCTTATGGTTATAAAAATAAAAAGTGTTAAAAATATTCAATCCTATTTTTACAGAATAAATAAATTTATCAGATTAACAAGTTAATGACTTATTTTATAAAGCTTTACACTTAAAAATATTAACATTCTTGAATACCTATAATAAACAAAGTCTGGTATTTAAAACTAAATAAAACAGGTTTTATTGTCAAATTTATCAACTAAAATCATTTTACTTTATAATTGATGTAAGGTGTAATTGGATATGACTTTATTTCCATAAGACATTGTGCATTTGTTTATTTATAATACAAATATTTATTTACTCATTTTAAAGACTTTCACTTTAGTTTCAAAGGAAAAAATTTAGTAATGAATGATGGGATGTTTATTATTAGCTCAAACAAGAGAATATAATACATTAAAAAAAAAACAAATAAAAAACAAAGAAGAATAATCTTTAAGAAAATAATTTATAATGTTTTAATAATTATGATTGACTCTAGTATTAACAAAATACTAAAAACAATACAAACCCAAAAAATAAAGGAGGATATTAGTTAAAAAATAAAACAAAGGAACAAAATCCAAACTAATAATATAAAAATAAATAACACAAAACAATAAAAACTATTTCATTGAAACTTACAATTGATTGGATTTTGATGTTTTTTACTTGTCTTTTGAGTTTTACAATCAAGAGATTTCATCACCGCAATATCACGAGGTAATATTTGTTGAACAAAACTCAAATCTACATTCTTTTCAAAGTGTTTACAATGTGAGGCAATAATTGAATCCATAGTTCTTGGACTCATAAAGACATTTAACCAATAGAAGCCTATGTGATAATGTTCATTTGGGGTAAATACTTTTGCCATCTCTAAAAAATAATTTTCTTTTTTATCTTCACCACAATTTATTCTAACGAGGAATGAACGATAATGGAAAGGAGAAGGTGTTGCTTGGACTTGTCTTTCAACAACATCAGCAGGATTAGTTCTCTGTAAAGGAAGAGTAGTATAAATAACTTGTTGAGAATCAACAAAAGAATTTTGACCTTCTGGACCTATAATTAGTTGACGTTTAAGTAAAGCATTTAAAATTATTTTAGCATGCATCCTATTAACTACATTTGTTTTATTACACATCCAAGTAGCAAGAGTTGTACCACTAACTTTTCCATGAATATCTTTAATCATTGTTTGAAGTACTTTGTCGATATTAAAATAATCAATTTCATTTCTTTTAACATCAATTTTATTAAATATAATTGGAAACCATTCAACCATATTATCACTTTGAGAAATGATAAATTCATAATATTTAAAAAATGCAAATAATTGTTCTTCTTCACTTTCTTTTGAAGAGACATGAAATATTTGAGAATGAAATTTATCAAGACTAACATCATCTACAGTAAAACTATCAAAATTGTCATATACTTTCCAATTCATTCCTCTCAATGGTTGTAAATTAATAGTTCTAGTTGTTTTATTATACTTTGTGATATCAAATTCAGGAGATATTGGTGGTGTAGTAATTGCAATAAAAGAATAATGATAAGGAAGTAATGAAATTGATGAATAAACTTTTTGTTGAATTTTAACTTCAACACCATTTTCTTTTAATTGAAGTAAATGAATAGCGTCTGGAGAATAAAGTGTAACACTATTTTCTGAAGTAGTATTAGGATTAAATTGAAATCCTAATGAAACTCTATTTCCAATCATAATATTAAATAATTGTTTAGGAATAACATTATTCGATGGTACAACAACATAATTTATTTCTTCTATTTTTTTAAATAACTTTGTTGGAGTTTCAGAAATATATTTTGAAGGGAATTGCAATTTAATAAGATTATCCCATGGGTCATTTCGAGGATGATTTAATGATTCTGAGATACAATAAGCCAAACTATGTTCTTTTGGAATGACATTAATATGTAAAGGAGAAACTCCATTTAATGGAAGAAGACTTTGTTTTATTTGACAAATATCAGTAGAAGTTTCTTGATCAATAGGAACAAGATAGTCCTGTTTAACAATACACTTTCTTTTAATTAATGGAACAAAGAAATACTCTGCATTTTTATCAAAATTTTTAGTAAGACAATTATGGCAGTTATGAGACCTACATAACTTAAATGCATCAAATGTAAAACTTTGATAATAACGTATTTTAATCCAACACGGGATATAATAATTTCTTTCTTCGGCTTCTACATCATTTAAAAGTATAAGTGGAGTTGTATAAAGTGGTTTGGTTGCTAATGAAACCATTTGAATATTCGCGTAATTTTTTAATACAATTCTTTTACATAATGACTTTACTAATGAATTACATTTAATTAATCCTGGACCAGGAGTAATGATTAACATAGTTTCACTTCCTCCTCCTCTAAAATGAGATCCAAAGTGATGTAATACTGTAATAATTGATTCTAATAAATTTGAATTCTTTGAAGAACATAAGATAGCTTCATTTTCAATACTTGTCATTTTCTTCCATTGACTAAAGTATTGCTTTAAACGAGAATTTAATAATGTTAATGGAAATGAATCTGCAAATGAAATTGTATGAATAAAGTCAGTGTCTTTGGGTTTACTTAAATTTGAAGGGGAAAGACATCTAAATGTTGGTGTAGCTGATGTAGGGCGAAAATTAGGTTGTACCCTTGAAAATAAAGAGATAACAATTGTGTGTTTTGCATGAACTTCTCTAAAATGTTGATATAATTCTGTTAGAAAATCCAAACACTTATCAAAATACATCTCTCCATCTGGATGATGCTCCCACATTTCTGAAGACATGTCTATCATAATAAATATTGTTCCGCTCGTTGTATAGGTCGTCATATCTATTCCTCTTCAACAACAGTCAACTTTTTTTAAGTTTTTCTTTTTTTTTCTTATTTCACTAAAATAGTATAATTAAGTTAATAAATTAATTATAAAATAGTAATTTAATAAAGAGAGGATAAAATAAAAATGTTCTGAAATGATTACTCTGGTATCACTTATGTTGAAATGAATGGAAAAGATTGAAAAAAGTGAAAAGAAAAAGGTCAAACATATACTTAATTAAACTTATGAACAATGAAATATTTCATCAATCAAATAATAATTTTGAAGAGAGTTCTGTTAACGAAAGAGATGGAATAATTCCATTATTTTCTGATGTATTGACACGAGTTACTCTAAATTTTCCATTACCAGTAGAGTAAGAATTAAGGTTATAATAATCAGCAATAGCATGGCATAAGAGACGTTCATAATTATTTTCTAATTTAAATTCTAAAATATCAGAGTCTTTATTTTTAATATAATTAAGTATAAGTTTGTCAATTGTTTGGACAAAAGAATTTTGGGATAAAACCACTTGTTGAACCTTTGTTGGTATTCTTCTAATAGCTAAAATAACTTCTTTTGGTAATTTAGATGGAAGAGCTTTATAAACATTATTATTAATTGAATATAACTTAAGTTCACATTGTTCTGGTTCATCTTTAGGAATACTTTCTTCTATTCTAATTAACTCTAATGATGGATCAATACCATTTTCAAGGCATTGACTTAAAAAATTACCAAATGGAGAATAAACAGGCATGTCTTGTTGAAAAGCAATGACTGATATTTCTTTACAATGAAGATAAGAGTCAATCATCCCATTTTCATCCATAATATTTCTGAAAAGTTCCTGTTTTACAGAACCTGCCATATTTTACTTTGTTTCTTTTTCAGTTTTCCTTTTATTTTATGATTGTTTTAATTATAGAATAAAAACACCTTCATCAAGACTCAAGAATTTCAAAAATATAAAATTGTTATATTTAACACAATTAATAAACAATAAAAAATCATTTAAAAAAATCTTAAAAGATTTATAAAAAAAAGAAATGGCAAATGAAGCACGTACTCTCGTTACTCCTGAAGGCAATGTTATAGATATTCAAGGAGCCAGTCAAGAAAATGGAGCTAATGCAATTATTTACCCAAGACATGGAGGAGAAAATCAATTATTCTTTATTGATAAACAAATTGGATGGATTATTTCTGTGTTTTCTAGAAAGGCATTAACTGTTAAAGAAAATATGTATGACATTGTCCAATCAGACTATCGTAGTCTTTCTCGTCAACAATGGATATTTGAAGATAATCCTGATGGAACAACAGTTATTCGTTGTTATGAAAATCCAGAGTTAGTTCTTTCAGTTACAGAGAATATAGATAAAGTTTGTTTAAGTCCATTTACAAGAGAAGCTCATCAATTGTGGAGAATTGAATAAAAAATAACAATTTTTATTATTTTTTACATTCTTTTTTATTAAATTTAAGTTTCATTTTATTAAAAATTAATTAAATAAGAAGTATTAGCTATTGATAACAAAGAAGGTCCATATTCAATCCTTTTAAAATTACAAGCCATTGTTTTATAAAATACTGTCATTAACATTGATGAATAAACTTGAATAAAGTCTTCATTTTTAACACGTAAAATACCTTTCATAACTGATTTTGTTTCTTCATAGTCAATTAATTCTATTGAACATTTATGTTCATTACCAAATGATAGAGTGTATGACTCATAAATAATTCCTAATATTCCTAAATGTCCAATTTCTTCTAAACATTGATGTTCACTATTTATGAGTTAAACTTATTAATAAATTAAAAAAAAATTAATTGAGTTATTTCAAACAAATCAAATGAAATATATTGCATTAAATGAAATGAGAAATAAAAATAATTAGTTTCATAAATTTTAATTTTCATTTTTTTTTACTTAAATAAAGTAATAAAAAAAGATAAATAACAAATATGTCAGTTCTTTTATTATTAATAATCATTCCTATTTGAATTATTTTGTTTGTTTTTGTTTAATATCTACTGAAAAACTTCTTTGTTTTGTTGGTGCTTCTTCATCACTGATAATAAATTGTGGCAATTTCATTATATTTTTATTTGGATTTGAAGAACTAAATGACCTTCTTATTTCTGTTTGTTTATCAAATGAAGATGATATATCATCAGGGAGTTGGTCAGATCCTTGACTAATAGATAATTGAATTTGTAAAGTACTTATTTCATTTAATTTTTTAATAGTTTTTTGATCTAACCTAATTGCTTTTCTACTAGAAAATCTCCTTGAAGACAATTCTTTAATAGAAGAATTAATTTCGATAATTGGAACTTTTGGTACTTGTTCTAATTTTTTTTGATGAATTTGTTGAAAAGGTTCTGATGATTGAGATAATGATATGATATTACTAATATAATCTGGAACTTCTGGTAATGATTGTCGATATTTTTCTTTTAATTTCATTCTTTCACTTTTATTACATTTTGGCTCTTTTTCTTTACTTTTTTCTTCTTTATCAAAAGAAAGGTTATTTTCAAATAAATCTGTTTCAATTTGAACTACTTCAATTGGAATCTCTGGAAGGTCATTTTTGTCAATACCTTCTTCCAGATATGTCTTAGACTCATTACTTTTCTTTAAATCAGGTATTTCAGCTGATTTTGAAGTTAAAGGAATAGTGCATTCTGACTGATTAGATGATTGATTTAACCTTTCTTTCTTAATTTCTTCTGCTAATTTTTTACTTATTTCTGGAGAAAATCCAAATGAATCAATATCTATTTGGTCCATTGATAATATATTTTCAACACTTAAATATCCAAATCCAATGAATTGTTCAGTTAATTGTTCTAATCCAATTCGTTTTAAAAAGTTTCTAACTGTTTCAATAGGATCAACAAATAATTCAGCTGGTTTTCTTTTTTGTAATTCATTTCCATTAAATACGTCTTTATATTCAGGAAATAAAGTGATAATAAATTTATTTAATCGATAACACATTTCGTCTAATTTTTCATCTTCAAAATCTAAACTATCTGATTTTAAAAAATGAATTCCTCTAGTAAATTGAAAAGAAGAAGTTAGTTTTAATAATTCTTCTCTATTATTACAAGCTGTTGAAGAAATAAAAATAATTGGAGCGGTAATTTTTTTAACTTGTTGAAGAGTAACACAAGAAAAGCATAATGAATTTTTTTCTACTTGGGCGTTCTATTTATGTAATTGTTAATTATTATATTATTATTTTATTTAATTTAATTAAAAAAGATTGTAATTTTGTAACAAACAATTAATATAATACCTGCTAATCTTACTATTCCTCTCTCTTTTTCAGGTTTTATTGATTTTTGAATTTTATGTGCAAGATAAAGTGTTGGTCCACATCCTGCTCCTTTTCCATAAAGAACAATACGACTAGGAGATTGATGTAATTGTTTAGTAATAAATTTCCAAACATACTCAATATGATTTGCTGTTTTTTCGTCTGAATAATGAGAACCTTTAGTATATCCTGGATATTCCCATGCTACAATATTTGCTTTAAATATTTCTGCTAATACTGATAACCAATTTTTAATACTTGCAAGTGTTTCATTTGAATCATGATTATATAAAATTGTAATTGGTTGTAATCTAATTATTAATTTTATTTTTATTTGTTTATTTTAAATTGAAAATAAATCAAACATTGTTGTTTTAGTTTGGACATATAATATTGGTATATTCTTTTGATTTATTTTTTGAAGTTCTGGCATTTTGGTATCTTTGGTTAAAAGAACACTACTACGTTTTTGTTTGGCTCCTTCTTTAAGTGAAATACAATTGTTTGATGTTTGTTGCATCAATTATTATAAAACTGAAATTCAAAACTTTTTTTTATTTAAAAAAAAAACTAAAAATTGTTTTTTTAAATAATTCTATAAATAGTTTTGTATTTTTTTTTTAATATATTTTTTAATTTTATTCTTTATTAAACAATGCTATTCTTCTCTGTGGTTTTTCAAAGTCAAAGTAACTTTGTATGATTCTTCTTTCTTTACTTTAAAAATATTAAAATATCTTTAAATTCTATAGAAATTATTTAGTTGATTTAAAAAAAAAGTATTTGAAAAATAGCTAAAAGAATGGTTTATTTTTAAAAAGATTATGTTATTTAATTGTTTATCTAATAATCCACTCAAAACATAATTTTCATTTCAAATATTATTAAAAATCATAATTATTTTAACCCTTTACTTTCTTGTTCAATTCAAAAGAATTCTACAGTTGTATTAAATAAGATGTTGCACATATCTAATACAATAAAACTTCATCTAAAAGTATTACTAAAAAAAACCAATGATTTGTGTTAATAAATATTCATAGGATATACTTATTTGATATTTATAACTTCTCTAGTTATTTTTTATTAGTATTTAAAAAACTCTTATTACTTATACTTATTTAAAAAAAAAATAATTCATAGTTTTTAAATTATTTAAAATGATTATCAATTTATTTGAAAAGAATCAAAAGTTATTAATTACTTAAAATTTTATGTTTCCTTATTGTAATATAAATCACAGAAATACTCCTTAAAGTTAATTAATTTTGTTAATCATTTTATAAAATAAATCCAAAAATAAAAAAATTAAAAAGTTATTTCTAATGATGAAATAATAGAGATTGTATCACCAGACAAAGAGATAAAAAATTGAAATATAACTTAATTTCTTTTTTTTCAACTTTTTTTTTAGTTTTTTTATAATAACAAAATAGAATTTTTACTAATATTTTATAACTTCTAATTGTTTTTGGTTAGACTAAAAATAAAAGAAACTAATTGATCTTATAAATTTGAAAATGACTAAAAACATATTAGAATGTTCAGATAGAGTTGTAAAAACAGTTGAACCAATGACTGTTTGTTATTTTATAACGTCAAAAAAAAATTATACAAAAAACAAAAACTCAGAGGAATAGGACCAGTTATTGTTATATGACCAATTTGTTGATAGTCAAGGAAATATTGATATCAAAGTCCTTATAGGACATTTAAAGAAAGAAGGAAGATTACATCCAAATGCACTAATAACAATTCTAAAACGAATACAAAATGTACTAAGAAAAGAAATGAATGTTATTAGAATCAATGGACCAACAGCAATATTTGGAGATATTCATGGACAGTTTTATGATTTATGTAATATCTTTCAAGATTTTGAAAATTCTGATGAAAGTCTATTGTTTTTAGGTGATTATGTTGATAGAGGATGTTTTGGTACTGAGGTATGTACTTTTTTATTTTGTCTAAAACTTCAATATCCTAATCGAGTTCATTTATTAAGAGGAAATCACGAATGTAGATTAATGACAACCTACTTTAATTTTAGACAAGAATGTTTATGGAAGTATACTGCTCAAATTTATGATGAATTTATGAACACATTTGATTGTCTTCCATTATGTGGAATAGTTAATTCAAACTTAGGATCATTCTTTTGTGTTCATGGAGGCATTTCTCCTTCACTTCAAAAAATAAATGATATTAATTATATTGATAGATTTCAAGAACCACCTGAAGATGGATTATTTTGTGATTTATTATGGTCTGATCCTATGGATGATTCAATGTATGAAGTTCTTTCCCAAGAAGACAAACTTATTTTTCAAAAAGAAATGTATGAATTTAATTCAGTAAGAGGATGTAGCTACTGTTATGGATTTGCTGCAGTAAGACGATTTCTTATTAAAAATGACCTTGTTTGTATTGTTAGAGGACATGAAGTTCAAAGAAATGGATGTAAAATGAATTTTGAAGGATGTTCAACTTCACCAATTGCAATTACTATATTTTCAGCACCAAATTATTGTGACTGTTATGACAATGATGCTGCTGTATTAATGGTTAATAATGATGAACTTAGTTTCTTATCATATAATTGTGTTTCTCATCCATTTTGGCTTCCGAAATTCGCAAATGCATTTTATTATACACTTCCTTTATTAATTCAACAAATGAATACAATAGCTAGTCGTTTATTCTCCGCAATTATTTTTGAATCTATTGAATCTCTTGAAGACAAATCACAAACACCTGAATTACCTGAAGAAGATGAAAATACTTTAAATCAAATTGAAAAAGCTTTGAATGACCCTCATAACAAAATTATTAATCCTCATAGTAGGATTGCTAAAACCGCAAATAGAAGAAGAACACTCGTTGGTTCTACATTATCATTACAATCACTTGAAACTCCTCCTACTTCAACCCCTCCAATGTCTCCTCAACAAAATCAATCAAAATCTCGTTTATCTGCTCGTGATGCTCGTTTAGATAAAAGAAGCTTAACTTTAGGATTAAAAACTGATTATTCGGATACCTCAAAAACAGAATTTCATGTTGAAGCTTCAAGTCGTTTCGAATTGGCAAAGAAAAATGATGTATTAAATGAATTAAGACCAGTTGAAATGAAAGAGTTAAGAAAAGAATGGCAAAAATTAAAAGATAAATAATAATTTCATTCAATTTCTTTTTCAGTTTGATTAAAAATTATATAAAAAAGTAATAAAAAAACAAAATTAATAGTAATTAATTCAA